ATTAATTAATCAATCAATTAATTTTAAGTTTAAAAGGATTAAGAAAATCAAAATAAAGTTAATTTCAAGCTAGTCCTCTGACATACATACATACAAAAAAAAACCCAAAACAAATTAATCAATAAATTAATAAATTAATTGATTAATCAATAATTTGAAAATATCAAATTAAAAAATAACGTTATTTTTGAGGCAGCGGAAAATTGCTCGTGTTTTTAATCCTATTGTCAAACAGTTCAAAGAAGTTTTCCAAAACCTGTCCTCTGACATATATACATCTATGCACGTGTATGATAGACGCGCCCCCCCCCCCCTCCCCCCTAAACACACAGTAACAAACACACACACACACACACACACACACACACACACACACACACACACACACATTCACGCACACACACACACACACACACACACACACACACACACACACACACACACACACACACACACACGCATACGAACACACGCACGCACACACACACACACACACACACACACACACACACACACACACACACACACACACACGTACGCGCGCGCTCTAAAGCATGCATACTTACTCATACGCCTACGAAAATGTACTCTTGTTACACAAAATCGCAACTTGACGCATTACGATTCATAAATCTATACTCCTATCGGCCTTATATTCACGTTTCGGTATTAGTATTTGGCAACGTAGTGAAATCAGGCGCTAGTCAAAATAATAAAATTGAAAAAAAAACCCCAACAACAACAACAAACAAAAAACCAGCAATTTTTTTCCCAATTTTTTGTCCATTTAGAAATACATTTTAAAAAGCGTTGATTGAAGGCACTAAAAAATGTAATGTTTCAGTTTCCAAATATTCTCAAGCGATGAAAGTCACCAATCTTTAGTCGCCATTTTTTCGTTAATGTTTACCTCTGAAACCAGGTGACCCCCACCTCTTTCGATGGCAAATATCTCGTCTTCTATTCAAGATCATTGGGCATTTATAAAATCAAAAGCAAGACAAATGAACAAGGTTTAAGATGATACTAATAACTCCGCTTGCTCCAAAATTGACGAGCGCCTGATTCCACCGCGTCGTGACACCAATATTATGCTCCGAAATGGACACCGTTCTCCGATAGTTAACTCCATAAAGCCAACAATTGAGATGCAGAGTCAATATTGAGAGATAGATATCGGTTGGGGGGGGGGGGGGACCAACGATTATTTTCGTAGGATTTAAAAAAGGGATGGGGGTGGTGGGTATATTGAATAGAATTATAATAGCATATTATAGTGGGGCGGTTTAGCCAAAAACAAATTAAGGATTTTGCATTTTGTGATACAAGCACCAAATTTGGCACAGATGTACATTAATATATTGCAAACATTTTTAGATATTGGGCCACGCGGATTTCTCTCTTTATGGCCGCCATATTGGGTTTCAAAATGGCCACCATTTGAAATCTACATTTGCAAGTAATATGGATTGTTTCGTGCTAGATTCCGTCATAAGCCATTTAAAGAAGAAGAAAAAGTCACGTATAACGGGTCTTACACTATTCAGTCAATATAATAATATAAGATATTTGTCGCAAGACTTTTCGTGTGTGTGTAGGGGTTTTTTTCTCATCTTACAACTGGCAGAATTTTTTATTTATATTCTAAAGCCGATTACAGCTTATTGAAAACATACCAGCCTTTATGGATCGTTTTCTTTATTTCACTGCAAAGAAGCTGGAACAGCTGTTTTCAAATGGCCTAAACCGATGGCTGAGAGAACCTGAATGCACTTTGTTGAACTCGTGAAAGTTAATACACAGAGGTATTTTCAGTTTGCAATGAAAATCGCCGTGACCTTTACAATAATTTTAAAATGTGTAGTTAACTTAATGCCACGTTTTTAAATAAAACAAATAAAACAATGTTCTTAATGATCAAAGTTCATTCGTGTTTAGTTTTCTGGTCAGGACCATACGACATTACCACCGTTTTCGGGCTTCCCTTCATATCAATGTACAGGACATTGGCAACTGAATACCTCCAGATGTGCTTTTTCCTGTTCTCTCTCTCTCTCTCTCTCTCTCTCTCTCTCTCTCTCTCTCTCTCTCTCTCTCTCTCTCTCTTTCTCTCTCTCTCTCTCTCTCTCTCTCTCTCTCTCTCTCTCTCTCTCTCTCT